TAATTACTTAAATCCTGAATCCTTAAATTATTAAATTTGGTCCTGTAGTATGAAGAATTTGGAAATACATATAGATATTAAAACAATTGTCAGATGGACCACGTGAGTTTTAAGATTCTGTGTTCACTTCCTAATCCTTGTCTTCCCTAAACAGTGATATGTCATATGATTTGTCAGCTTAATTGATATCTGCACTGTGTAACAAAACACCCAAAACTCTGTGGCTTAAATTGACAGCCGTTTTATTTGCTCATGAGCTTGCCATCTGGGCTAGGTTCAGTTGGGCGGCTCTTCTGCTGGACTTGCCAGTGCTTCCCCACCTGGCTGGCTGCATTTAGCTGGGAATTGGCTGGGGCTGCACTCAGCTGGCATGCTGGGATGTCTTGGTGTCTCTCTCCCCATGTAGTTCTCAGAGCTTCTTCCTCTCCGTCTGGCTTCTTCACGTGACTTTTATCTATGTGGTTTTGCCATCTGGCCTCTAGCATGGTGGCCAGACTTCTTATGTGGTGCTAAGGGCTTCCAAGAGTGCAGAAGCGGAAGCTGCCAGGCCTTCTGAAGGGTTAGGCCCTGAACTGTCCGCACCGTCGCTTCCACCACGTTCTCTTGTTTGGAGCAAGTTGCAGGCCTAGTCCGGATTGAAGGGTGTGAATAACAGGGGGCACGGTTCACCAGGGCCTGCACCACCACACTCAGTCTTTCAGGACATGTATGTTTTTTCCATTTGCTATGCCACTTGATCAGATGACTTGCATTACACTTGGGCAGTTTTTAGGCAGCCCTTCAAAGAATGATGGACGTGTACAACACTGCCTAGGTCAAGGCATTTCGATTACGCGCAAAGTAGTTTCACTAGTAAAACACATTTATGGAAATGATAATGTCTGTAAATCTCTTTACCTTTTAATATTTGAGCAGGTCTGGTCTTAATCGTTAAGCTATCCAGAAATTCAGGAATATTTATATTTAATATATATTTTTATATGCTCAACTCAGACATGCTGTCAAACTAGACAAGTGAAGCTGTTGATAAAAAGTTTTTTCTGTGCTAGCATAAACATTAACTTAATTTCTGCTGAGAAATAAACTTTTTGTTTCTTTTACTTTATTAGTGAAAATGTATTTAGTCTATTTTTTTGCCTTTTTCTGTCACAATTTACAGGTAAGTCATAGTTATCAAAGAGAGAGAGGGAGGGAGTATGTGTGTGTTGGACTTTTAAGTTCTATTTAAAGAAGAACAGAAGGCTGCCTTCATTTTGAATGAGGACCGCTGGTCATACTGGTGACGGTCCATCAACACATGTCCTCTACCTTGTTTGAACCACTTAGAGGTGCTCCTGGAAGTGGCCTGAGATGAGGCATCCACACCACAAGCATGTGACCTAGTGATCAAATAAAATAGCTGAAATACATGATCTGCCCTCCAGGTGTAACAGGAAAACTTCCCCAAAGGAAAAACGACCCAAATTCTCTGCCAATTTAGAAGATACTAGAAATAAAACAAAATGTAGAAACTTATAAAGAATTCGAGAATTTTTGCATGGATGTAGGTAGAATTTACTCGGGAATCGGGTTTTGAAAAATATTGGAACGTTAATTAATCTTTGGTAATTATGCTTTCATAGGTACATCGAGAAAAATGATGCAAAGGAGAAAGCACATGAATTATTTCTGGATCAGTCCCTTGAAATCAGGCAAGTTAAGCTTACATTTATTTTTTTCTATCTTATATTTTTAATACCAGAGGCAGAAGGACACTAGACTTCTAAACATATTGTTGTTTGTCTGCTTCTTTTAAATAATTGTTTCTCTTTTCTTTATCTTTTATCTATTTTATTCTTTAAATTACTATTCAAATAAATTTAGTCCTTAAGTGTTTATTTTATGATGTTCCTACTTTTATTTCACATTGTCAATACAAAAAATTCTGAATTTATTGTTGATTTCTCCTCTTTTCCCTTGAATTAACTTGGAACTAAACATGTGTTTTAAAAACTTTTGTGTTACCTGAAATAACAGCCTCAAGTACATCATGATAGTTTTTTGCTCCACGATTATAGGTTCATTAAAGAATTTTTATTATGAACCTATAAAAAGTTTTCTTTTAATTTTTATTAATACAAATAATGTTTTTACATACTGGTAACTAATATATTCAGTAGTAAGCAGTTGTATTCTGCTTTTCTCATTTAATAATGTTTCATATACGAGGTTTGATAAAAAAAAATACAGTGAATTTTTTTTTTAAATGTGCTATAGTAAAAGACACATTGCCATTAACCCCCATCAAAATACTCTCCCTCACTTCGAGTGCACTTATCCCATTGTTCTTGCCACTTTCTGATGCAGTTCTGGAAGTCCTCTTTCGTGAGTGTCTTTACTTCATCCTCCATCATGACTGCTCCGTGTCACATATCGCTTCTGGTGTGGCAACTTCTGTCAAATAAAAACAGTATGGTGTGTCTTCATCCACCTTATTCACTGGGTCTGACACTGTGCAACTTCTGGCTCCTCCCTAAAGTCAAAATTATTCAGGACGTTGATGTAGCCATGACAGTGCAACTAAAGACATTTACCAAAAAAGGACTTTCAGAACTGCTTCAGAAAGTGGCAAGAGTGATGGGATGAGTGTGTTCGAAGTGAGGGGGATTAATGGCAATGTGTCTTTTACTGTAATACATTTTTTCTATTTAAACATTCACTGTATTCTGTGATCACACCTCGTATACATATCCTTTCACATCATGGTCCATAGCCGCCTTTTTTTCGTTGTTATAAATGTATTACCACCAACAACTTTGTTTAGATCACTTTTCCTTTGGGTTATTTCCTTGTAATATGTGTCAAGATAGAATTTCTGACTCAGGATGACAGATGTTCTATAAAGTTTATTAATATAGCCAGATTATACTCCAATTACACTCATAAAAATGGTAACCAGTTTCTCAGCATTCCCACCAAATACTCAGTTTTAACTTCATATCTTCCTTTGACCATTTGTAAAGCGTAAAGGGTATCTGTGAGCCTCTGTTACACAGTAAAACACTAGGCAAGAAGTTACCCTAGAAGTTGCCATGTCTTTCTGTGGCCTGATTTCAACGTTAACCTGGCGTTAGCCTTTGTGATCTCACTGGTTAAATTTTATCATGAAGTTTTTTCCTTTAATATTAACAGCAATACATTTACAAAAGAGAAAATGAAACTAGAAGAATGTATAAAGAAAGGGAAAGAAGATTATGAAGAGATTCTCCAAAGATCTGTGGCTGCAGAGGTAAGTCCAGGACACTTGGTGACTGACAGGCAGGATGTCACTGGTTTGCTTTGTGTTTCGTTACATGTCAGATGTAACAACCATTGCTGAAAAACGTGCAGCCTGAGGGATGTGCTGTTAAGATATTGCAACCTGTCTGAACAACCGCTCTATCCTTGCCTGTAGCTTGTTAATTTTTTACCCTTATGCTTGTATTGTGTTACATGGCTGTGCTCATAGTTTACACCATATTTTGTAATCTGCTCCTCTTATTTAATATTACAACTTAGTCATTTTTCATGCTCTCCACGTGGAATGGCTTCATCATATTTAATCAAGTGATGTACCGTGAAGCAGCCAACCATAAAACATATTTGGCAGAACTGGAAAAGGAACTTGAAAATAATCCACTTATTAAGAGCATGCTCTCTCCTTCCCCCAGAAGAATGTACACTGACGGCAGCATATTAATACTATGTGAGAAACTAGTGCGACAAAAATCAAAATAATGAGAGGCCGGCCGAGTGGCTCAGTTGGTTAAGAGTTGGCTTAAGAGCATGAGCTCTGAGCAACAGGGCTGCTGGTTCGATTCCCACATAGGCCAGTAACGCTGCACCCGAGCTGAGCTGCCGCTGAGCTGCCAAGAGGTGGCAGGATGGCTCAGCTGGTGTAACAAGATTGCCTGTTCGATGGTGGGCTACACCCGCCCACAACTAAGACTGAATTGAGCTGCCCCCCAGATGGCTCAGTGGACAGAGCGTGCGCTCTTAACAACAAGGCTGCCTGGTTTGACTCCCACATGGGATAGTGGCTATGCCCACCTGCAACTAAGATTGTAACACAGCACCTTGAGCTTAGAGGCCATGAGCTGCCGACGGGAAGCCAGATGGCGACTGGCGCCCTCCACAATGAAGATTGAAGAACAGCAACTTGGCTGGTTCCCTTCCCCAATTTCCCAACACTGTTCTCCTCCCCCAATTTCCCAACACTGTTCTCCTCCCCCAATTCCCCAATAAAATCTTTTTTTAAAAAAATCAAAATAATGACCCGTGGCTATATTACATTTAGTTCCTGAAACATGGTTGTCTTCGTTTATCTAATTAAGAGGTAAATGTTATTTATTGGTATATGTCTATGATTATTCTGGGAAAATAAGAACAGCCTTAGCTTGTGCAGTCTGCAAACATGAGTCCGTTAAATACTGGCTATGCAGCTGCTTCTAAGGAAAGGAAAGAGAAACAAAGCCCGAGTCCCTATAATCTGTGGGTCCCAGGCCGCATCTGCGTTCCCAAGCTTGCTCAGGTCCCGTTTAGCACCTTGGCAAGTGCTTTTGCCTGGTGGGTCCTGTCAAGGTTACTGGCCCCTGGACTGAAACAAGGCAGGTCTGCATTTGCTAGAGTGACCCTTAAAAATGGCCAGTAGGCTTGTGGGGAAGCCAGAGAGTCTAAAGTTTTCAAAACATGCCCCAGAGGCTTTTGATGCCCATGCTGAGAACAACTTCTCTGTCCCCTTTAAATCCAGTAGGGCGCAGCCTTGGGGTTATTCTGCAGGCCCTTGGCCCTCCGCTCACCATAGCAGCCCTGAGATAACGCACACCAGGTATATACACACAGCTAACCCAGCTCTGTGTGTACACGCCTAAGCAGTAAGCCACGTGGAAGGTTTCATATCGGAGAAAAGTATCAGTTAACGTATATATACTCTTACTGTCGTTTTGTTATTCTCTTTTCAAATCCAAAAGTTTTCATTCATGCTCCCCTGAGCAAAATGGCAACATAATCAAATTCCGGTGATTCTGCCATCATGTGTCATTTAAAGAGAAACTTCGAGGCGTTTTAGAATGTTTAAGTTTTAACAACTTTGAAATAGTTTCAGTTTCTCAGTTTTAGAATACTTAAACCTTCTCTAATCTAATGGTAGGTGTCTGTGCTTGAAAACTGGAAAGAGGCGGAAGTGTGTAAGCTGCAGGCCGTGGAGGCGCAAGCGGAAGTGTACCTGAATCACCTGAGGCAGCCAAGCAGGTATGGGGCGGTCTCGCAGGTCTTTCCCAGCATGTCATTCAGTATGTTCAAGTTCCAACGATTTGAGAAAAAAATTTATATTAGGCTGGACCTCTTTATTTTTAATAGTTATACAAGTAATACATGTTCAGTTGTAGAAAAATCAAAACATACAAACAAAATGATAAAAATTATGCATAATCCTCAATTGAGATGTAACTAGTTAATACAGTAATACCTTGGTTTGCGAGTATAATTCGTTCCGGAAACAAACTATACATATTGCAGGACATCACTCGTTTACCACGTTAAAATGTATTAGAAATGTTTGCTCGTCTTGCGGAACACTCGCAAACCACGTTACTCGGAATCCAAGGTTTTTACTGTATTTTGGAAAGAATTCATTAAGAATTTGAAAAAATGAAAATTTATATATTCTGTTCACTAAGTGGTGCATAAGCCTTTCCTGTCAATAAATAGATGTGTCCAGCCTGGTTCTGAAAGTTGGGTAGCTCCCAGCACAGCCGTGTCCCGATGCGTCACACACCACTGTGGAGGGGTAGTTGCGTTGTCTGCTCACATTGTTACTAAAAGCTGCACTACAGTAGGTATTCTTGTAGCTAAACTTTTATGCATGTTATTAATCATTTTCATGCATTAAATGTCTGAAATAAAGGTCACATTTTCAAGGTTTTTTCAAATGTTTTGCCAAATTCCCCTCTGTTAGAACAGTTACTGAACAATCCTGATGGTAGAGTATGGGAATATCGCTGCAAAGGATATTTATGGGTGTTTTTGTTTCTTTTGCTTTGTTTTTAGAATAAAGTTTACCTGGGACTCCTCGAGGGTCTCCGCCAGTCTAGTATTTCTGTGCAGGTTTTCAACATGGGATCACTTTTCTTCTGGCCCTTTTATTATGTTCCACACACAAGTTTTGCCCTTTTAATCCCAGGTTTTTCACCCTTCCTAGTGCTCTTCGGTTTAATTTCAAACCCTCCGCGCTGAACCAGTTTCTGTGGGTCACGGAAAAAGTTTTAATGTCTGGTTCTTTATTTCTTCGTTTTTCTAGATTTTGTGTTTTTCACCTGAGAAAACCTTTCTGATTAATGGTAAAGTTCTGTGCTGATTACGACAGGATTACTGCCGCTGAGGTTGAGACCTCATGGTGCTCAGATACCAGTGTTTGGCACTTGCCGTGGGCTGTGCCTCGTAGCCCGTTGGGAAACCAGGATGGCTCAGCACTCATTTTCTCTAATGGCATCGACTTGCTTGTTAAACCTCCCTGTACACGTAGCTTCCTTCCTGGAGGTTCTGTGCTAACTCTGCCTGTTCCTCCAAAGGAACGCAACAGACAAAGGGCACAAAAGGATGTTCTGTGTCTTCCTTAAGATGTATAGTGAGAACTGACACCATCACAGATTGGTAGCGTCGTTGATCCTCTCAGTTAAGGAGTGGGAGGCTTGTGTCACTCAGTCAAGCAGATGCATGAGGCACTGAGATGGTGAATGGGTTATGGTCTGTCAGGGCCCGTGCTGGCTCTTATAGTAAGGTGGCAGTGGTTTCCTGAAATGTGTTCAGTATTCCAGGCTGCCTTTTGCTTCTAATGCAAAGACAGCCTTTTATGTTAAACGCAAATGTCAAATGAAGAATGGCCAAATATTCCCATTTGGGGGAAAATAAAAATTCAGGAGAATATTTGCTCTCTGCCCACCAGATTTGGGGTGTTGGTTAGTAAGTTAAAATTTTCTTAAGTGTCTGAGTGAGTGTCTTAAGTATGGTGAGTTTATAAGATACACAGTTCTTTAAAAACGCTTGGGGTTTTTTTTGTGCGTGATCGTGTGAAATATATCATCCCTGTTTAAATGTCTCTTTTCATTTGTACTTTAGTGCTTTTTCAACTTTTAAAAATATTTTAAAGTTTCCTGTTTTTCTACTTTTCAGTGATTCTGCAGCATATCCTGACCTGGAGTCGGACATACATTCATGGGAATCATTTCTTTCTAATGTTAGAGAAGAAATTGAGAAAGCAGAGGTAAGTTGTAAAATGTTTTGTAATTCTTTCAAAATCTGTGTGGTATTCGTAATTCCCAGGAGGCTAGCGTCATACTGAAACTGTTTCTTTATTGAGCTGTTACAGGCAATATATATTTTTTGTTGAAATTCTAAGAATTTTTTATGAGAGTAATGATATTTTTTTAACTATCTTAAACTCTGCCCTTGATTGATAAGATTAGAGCAGTTGTGTTTGATATAAGGCTATAGAGCATTCTGATTAATGAGGTCTTATTTTGAACCTCTTTCCTTACAAGAAATAATTGTTTTAATACCTTGCATTTTGGTTATGTTTCTCAGAAAATTGTGATCACTTTTAATGCATAGGGAGAAAAACAGTATTATTGACAATTGTGGTTTTTCCTTGGAATTTGTTAGAAAAACGTAACATCTCCTCTCTACCTATAGTCTCAGTTTGAAGAACAAATTAAGGCAATTAAAAATGGCTCTCGGCTCAGTGAACTTCCTAAAGTGCAGGTTCCGGAGCTCTCGTTTCCTGCGTGTAGCACAGTAAGTCTCACGTCTTTGTTTTTTTCTTTTAAAGATTTTTTTTTAATTGGGGAATTGGGGGAGGGGAACAGCGTTGGGGAATCGGGTTGGGGGAACAGACAAGTTGCTGTCCTTTTGCTCTTCACTCTAGTTGTGGAGGACGTCGCTTCACTGGCCCATGTTGGTATTATCATTGTGCTCTTCCCGGGTGAGGCAGATCGGTCGCCGGCCTCTGGATGGCCGCTCATGATGGCTCTTGGCAGCACTTGTCAGCTCACGCTGGCTGCTGGCTACACATGGTAGCTTATGGCAGTCCGCTGCAGCCTATGCCATTGCCGGCGACTCACAGCAGCCCAGCTCCAGGTCGAGCTGTTGTTCACCATCTTAGCTGTAGAGGGCACAGCGTCACTGGTCCCCCCCATGTGGGATCCAAACCAGGGCCCTGCTGCTCAGAGCTGGCGTCCCAAGCCAGCTCTTAACCAACGTGCCACTCAGCCGGCCCATCTTTTTTTTTTCTTTTCAGGGAAAGAAAAATTAATGAGCCATAATTTCTTTCTTAACTGGCCAAAGTTGTTGGTGGTGGTTGTTTGGGAATGGGGATGGGATGAATTAATAATTCCCTTAATGTTTTCATTACTGGTGCTACTGGTTAACCTTTTAAGCTTTGTCATAAACATTGTCATATAAATGGGAGACTCTTTCTACATTGATGTCTAAGGAGAGGACTGAGGTGAACACACGGCTCGTGCATCTTTCTTTTCTGGATGCTGGTGTGGGTGTGTGTTTTCCTGCGTTTGAACGAATACTCCAGGTATAGCAGGTGATTCAGATATAATCTTATTCCTCAATCCTTTATAAAACCACAATCCGGAAATTAAGATTTGTTTTCTCATTAAATACAGAATAAAGACTGCTATACCTGAGACACACGAGGGCTCTGTTGGTCTGGCATGTCATATTTTACTGCTAATTTGAGGTACTTCTGAATCTTCTGAACAACAGTGATTGCCAAACCTTGTCTTTTTGTTTTAAAATATGCAGCACAGTAAAGAAAAGCATTAATTCTATTTTTTACATTTTCAAATATGGCTAAACCAAGTATCACTTTATCTTATTCTTGGCATATGTATTGTTTGGACACAGCAGATGCTCAGTAAATACTAAATTGAAATGAATTAAGCCCAAAGGAGATCAGACCATAAGAATTTAAAGAAGGACCGTCTTTGAGAGTCGATAGGCGGTAGATTTCCAAATGTTTTGGCACAACACTGGAATGTCCTGGTTGTGAAACGGTCTCCTGTACCCCAGCTCTGGTTTGTGCCTCTGCTTCTGCCAGATCTTTGCCTGGGCTGCTGCCCAACCTGGGGCACCGTCCTCCCTGCATTCTGTCGTTCCCCGAAAGCCCGCTCGGGCTGCCCTCATGCACCCTCGCCCTGTGACCTTCTGTCACATTCGTTCAGTCTCCTTAACTTAGATGACAGGCTCCCTGCAGTCTGCAGCCTGATCTGGGGTGTCTTTTTCTCATCAGAACATTGCACACTGAGCATTCAAACGTGTGCATTCATCTGCAGAAAAGAAGAACTTGTTTACAATAGTTTAGCCACCTCGAATTGAGAAAAATATTTTACTGAATCCAAAGTTTTTTTCTCTCCATCGAACTGAGTAAGAAATAGTTTTACTTAGAAGTAAATTAAAGATTGCTTCTTATTTATAGTTTTTCCAAGTTTTTATACCAGATATGGAGAGGAGAAAAAGTGAAATCTCAGTAGAATATGTTACTGTTACGTTTTAATTCTAGCTTATGTAATTTTATAAATATCCTAAAGAATTTGAATATCCCAAATCCTGGGAATTCTCTGTCTGCCAGGAGCTTGAATAAGTATCCCTTAAAATCACCTCTTTTGTGTCATCTCACCCCGTGCATTGGGCATTTGGTAGTGAGCACAGTTAGATGTGGTCTGTGCCCTCAGAGTGCGGATCTATTTGGAAAAGAGACTTTACACCCATAATTATAAGCAGAGTGCCTCCAGGTTTTTCCCAGGAGCAGAGAAGGCTACGGCAGCAGAAATCTAAGGTGGAGAGCTAGGCCTCACACAAGATTGCCGTTGGCGGTCTCAGAAGGCAGAGACCCAGAATAGGAACCACCCAGGCGAAGGAGTAAGTGGATGTGTGTTTGAACTGGGCTGGAAGGCGTGATGTCTGGAGGTCCAGAGTGCTCCGGACGGAAGAAACAGCATGTTTGGAGGCTAGAAAAAGAGCGAGAGGACACCCTGCTTTTGTGGCTCTTAAGAGTTGAGTGTGACAGAGGGGGCAACAGGATTCTATAAGTACACAGAGGCCAGCATGAACTCAGCCTTCCTGTCCTGTGGGGCGTGGTCAGCGGCTTGGATTTGCTCAGGGCACCAGCAGTGCGGTGTGGGTTTCAGGAACGGGGACGGTCTCAGCCATGTACTATGTGAGGCACAGCTTGACTGCTTGTGGAGAGGTGGGAGAGGGGCCACGAGGATCCCAGTTGAGCAGTCACGGGCTTGTTGCCACCAGCCATATCCTGGATCAGAGAGTGGAAGGAGGAAAACAGATCTGAGAGGCATTTAGGAGTTTCACTTGAAAGAACTGGCTTCTCAGGGCCGGCCGAGTGGCTCAGTTGTTTTAAGAGCTCGCTCAAGAGTGCGAGCTCTGAGCAACAGGGTCGCCGGTTCGATTCCTGGCCCAAGCTGAGCTGCCAGCAACTGCCAACAGGATGGCTCAGCTTAAAAAAAAAAAAAAAAAAAAGATAAAGAACTGGCTTCTCGTAACATTGGGGCACGGTGTGTGTGTGTGTTGTTGGGGTCTCGAGGAGGAGCCTGGGATTCTGTCAGTGATGGGGGCAGGAGAGGAGTGAGGAGGCTGCGCGGGGCAGGTTGTGAAGACCCTGAGCTTGAGTGGCCTGGCAGTCACCCAAGTGGATTTGCCCATTAGGAGGTTTGGATTTGCAGAGTCGGAGCTCAGGAAAATATTCTAGACTGGAATCTTTTAAAGGGGCATTATGGGCAGCGATCACGTGGTCACTGACGCGTGAGAGAATGTGAAGTAGCCTGGGGGGAGGGTGCAGCGCGAGGCAGGGGTCTGGGCCTCAGACAGCGTCATAAGGAGCTCCCACACTCAGGCGAGGACAGGCCTCAGGGAGAGCTGAGAAGGGGCCCCAGGCAGGCAGGTGGGAGGGACCCAGCAGCGCGGAGCCAGGAAGAACTCACCTGGAGTACGAGAAGGTGACCAGCAACGTCTAGGTGTCCCTGGGGCTTAGTGGGATGGAGACCATGGTGGCCATGGAAGGGCAGTTTTGGGAAGTGTTGGAACAGCTGCTTGCTTTATCAACCAGAGTGTAGCTGTGAAGGGAGACGTGTGTGTGATTAGGTGCGAGTTAGTTGAAGGGCAAGTGGGTGGGTGAAATGTTCTCACTCAGGCAGCTTTTCAAATTTTACAGAGAACATAATTATAAGGAGTTATTTAGGAGTCCGAGTCCAACTATCGTTCTAACAGGTAACAAGTTATGTTACAATCAGTAATTTTTTTCTAACAAAAAGATTGATCGTATGCAAGCATCCAGCGCCCGTGAGCTAGCCCGCTTTTACTGTAGTCATGCTTAGCTGTCTGTCTCTGCCCGTGGACATTTCTTTAAGTGCCGCTGTGCTGTGTTTCTCACAGATGCGTCCCAACTCACTTCCTGAGTCTTCAGGCCGTGATGATCATCGTCCCTTGGCTTCTGCAAGTCACGGGGCTGAAGACCAAACCACAGTCCTCAAGGATTCCAGTCTGGTCTCGGCCAGTGACCGCCCAGTGGGGGCCCCCCCAGCACCACTGCCAGCGTCGTTGCCAGAGTGTCAGGGTGCTGGCCAGGCCGTGCAGTCAAAACACGGCCTCGTGGCTGAGCAGAGATTGCGTGTTCCTCCAGGACGCTCTCCCCGATCCAGCCAGTCGCCAAAAAAGCCGTTCAATAGTATTATCGAGCACCTGTCGGTGGTATTCCCCTGTTACAACAGGTAGGACCATGAAACATCTGTGACTCTGTTAAGTACTTCCGTTGAACTGAGATTACCTGATCAGATAAAATTATGGCTCATTAGGGGCTGAGGTGGAAAAGATTGCATAATTGTTTAATTCAGAAAGACACATGCTACATCTGCTTTTGTAAGCGTAGAGGGGAGCTCTTTCAGATACATTTTATAATGTGCATATCTAGACTGAAAACTTTGAACACTCATCAGACCCCATGACAACCTTGCTGAGATTTTGATGAGATCAATAACATGCTCCAACACTAGTTATGGAATCACGAGATGAGCTGCAAAACGCTAGTTTTGTATCACTTTGGGAAAACAATGACTATAAAAGAAGGCGGCAGCAACTCACACCTTGCTGGCCAACCCCTCTGATATTTGGAGGTGTGGGGTTGAAAAGACCAGCTATAATGCGATAGTGAATCTGTGGGTGTGTTACAGAGTGACATGGGGTGGGGGGACTGCTTTTCACGAGGTCAGCCAGAGCTCCCAGTAGGGCCTGTGTCTCCACCTCTGGCCTAGCTGTCCAGGTTGGTGCCATGGGCAGAGGTGCTTCTTGTCTCAGGTGAGGTAGAGGGAGTATCTCTGGAATCCACACCTGGGACGATCCTTTGCTCCTCCGGTGTTATTCCTGTCTTTGAGACAATAGTAGTTACAGGCTCTGAAATTACACTTTTGAAATGAAGTGGTCCTTAAGTTATCCCTGGCCAGCATTAGCGCTTTGCATCGATGGGCACAGCCCTGCCGGTTGGAAAGTGAGCGCGTTGTGTCCGCTCGTCAGCGTCTTTAGCCCTGCCCCAGTTTGAGAAATGCTACAGCTTCTCAGAATAGCAGTGACCGTTTCAATTGTAAAAATATTCAAGTTGTAGTTACTAAAAAAGTACCTGAGAAATAAAGTGCTTTGCAATCCTAAGTTTGGCAGAGTTGAAATAACCAAAGAGAAATGCATCTTAATTATCTGAAAGTTAGGACATTTGGGGTATTAGTGGTACAAGACCAAGTTCCTGTCGATGAATGGTGTGATTCCCAACCACCGGTGCTCATGGAACATTCATTCAGGCTGTGAAATCCTTGTTGGTTAGGTTTGTAAGAGGGGAAGTCAGCAGAACTAGTTTTTTCTTAGATAGAGATTTCACTATTTCAGGTCAGCACCAGCGGCGTCTGGTCGGTTGTTCAGTGGTGTTGCATAAGTGGCCGTATGAAGTCGGGGCTCTCAGTTAGCGAGGGCTGCCCCAGGGGGGTCTAGCAGATAGGCTGCTACTGAGAAACTGGATTTGAATAAGTATTTAGAAATAATATTGGAGTTTTCATAACTCCTTGGAAAAGAGTGATTCCACTACTCTTATGTACAGTTACTATTTACAAATTTTGTTAGTGTGTATTTGTTTCTTTTAGCTGTTGGGTTATTGTTGGCACATAACACTTCTCAGCAGTAGGAAACTGACTTTGTGCTGTCACTTATCCCCACTTTCCCTGCAGCACCGAGCTTGCTGGTTTTATTAAAAAAGTGCGAAACAAAAACAAGAACTCGCTGTCTGGACTGAGCATTGATGAAATTGTCCAGAGAGTGACGGAACACATTCTCGATGAACAGAAAAAGCAAAAGGTCAGTACTTCATCCACTTTACCTGTCTCTATTTATAAAACATGAAAATTGTAAAAACTCAAAAAAAGCTTCCAACTAAAACGTGGAGAGCACTTTACTGAAGACAGAGGCTGGTCAGGCTTTGGAGTACCTGAACTTGCCTCCCCACCCTGCTTATGTCCACAGCCAAGTCCAGGACAGCACAGGAGGCTGTCTGAGGCCAGCTCTGCGGCTTCTGTGACCCGGGCCCCCCAGTGCCCAGCCTCCGCGACTGTGGGACCTTCATCACCTAGAACCCAGGGACAGAAGACAGAGGACGCCCCTGTAAGTGTTGTGTGCATGACTTACACTTGGGTATTTTTCTTAATGCAGAACAAGAAGGAAGCAAAATCGTTAATCCATGATTTAGCCTCGTTCTTCTCATTTCTAGACGTAATTTATTTGATCTTAACATTAGAAACAAAACACAGATGGGCCGGCCAAGTGGCTCAGTTGGTTAAGAGCTCGCTCAAGAGTTTGAGCTCTGAGCAACAGCGGTTCGAGTCCAGCCCGAGCTGAGCAGCTGCTGAGCTGCCAACAGGTAGCAGGATGGCTCAGGGAAAAAAAAAAAAAAAAGGAAACAAAACACAGATGTATTCAACCTTCTGGTAGAACAGTCAGTGAATGGCGAGGCCCTTGTCTCTGCTTTACGGGCGCCTTAGGGACCCCCTGGGTGTGTGACAAGGGCTGGGCCTGCAGCCGGTCAGGTACGTTCATTTTTTATGTCTAGGGTAGTGTTTTGAATAGTCGGGAAAAGTGATTTGGGGACCTTTTTTCCCTGTGTGACCATGGCCTTTGGGGTCACAGACGCGGTTCCCGCACTTGGTAGCACTGAGTTCAGATCGTATGAACATTCGCTGTTCGATTGTGTGAATGAAGCTGCAGCAGGATTCCCGGGGTCCAGCGCTGGCAGAGGCTGGCTGCTTCCTTTCCTGTCCCCTAAGTGCCTGCAGGGGACCTGGACCGGGCCAGTCGCCCCTAATTTGATACAGTGGTGCACATGGTTTACTGCCCTTGTAAGAAGAAGGTCACATTTACATAGAATCTTTTATAAAACGCTATTTTACTTACCTCAACTGATAGGTCATTGCAATTGTCTTTATTTTCCAAGGAGGAAACCGAGGCACAGATGACTCCTGCAGTTTTTCAGCATTCGTTCATTTGCTCTGAGCGTGCAGCATGGAATTCCCCAGTCCTCACTGCTGGGGACTGTGCTGGAGGGACCGGGCGCGTGGTTGTCACCGGTGTGGCCCAGGGCCTTGGGCTCCAGATTGAATTCTGATGTAGAGGGTGTGTTCCCCTTTGTACACCTGTGGCGTCAGAGTGTAGATGAAACTGACATCAGGAAAATTCCAGGCCCTGTGGCAGCCTCAGCAGTGACATCAGCAATGCCACATAGCAAGTAAAGTCTCGGTGTGAGGCACAGACAGTACAAACTTGCTGGCGCGAGCTGAGCTCCGAGTCTTTCTGTGAACTTGGGTTTTTATTTCTTTTTACATACTTTTCACGTTCCAGTCCCCCTGAGAGATTTTCCATACCACATACACCCAGGTCCAGAGGGCTCATCCCCACGCTCACCCCAGAGAGGCCTGGCTGCAGTCCCCCACCCCCCACCTCCCCGGGTGTCCCTGACTGGTCACGTGCTCTGTGGCCCTGCAGGCAGGCAGACTCCTCAGCATTCACTGCCATGCGTGTGCACATGAGCATATGTGCGTGGGCTTATTGGCCACCCCACCCCAAGACTGTCTCACCCAGGCTGTGATCACCTGGGGAGGAGAGAGCCCTTTCTACCACGGTTGACGGTGAGAGTAATACATGTGCACTAGCTGCCTTACGAGGAGCATGGGTGGTCAAGCGGGGACTTAATTTCATAATCATAGTTTTTAAAAATTAAAAGTTTGCTTCATAGTTTTCAACTGTAAAAGTAATACATGTTCACAATAGCAAATCAGATAAAAAAGAGCATTTGATGAATCCCAAAACCCACTCTGTAAGGTACCCAGCACTATTGCAAGGTACAGATTTTCCTAAACTCCTTTGTGTGTATGTGTGAATTTAGCCAAACTATATATACCTGTTTGTGTTCTTTTTTTTTTTTTTCTCTTTTTACTTAGAAATACATTGTGCCCTTTTCCACCCTAGAAAACAGTCAAGTTTACCTGTGGATTGTTAAAACCAGACCTACCTCTGAGCTTTGCAGAGGCCCTAACCTGCCCTTCCCGGGGCCGATGCCTCCGTTTCTGCCTGACCCGCCTCGGGCTGCAGAGGAGGGGGACCAGCCCATCCTGCTGTGTCTGCCCCCTGGCTGGTCAGGACGGGAAGCGCCCTTCAGCTCAGGGCCTTCAGACATTGGGCGCTGCCCCCAGCCCCACTTCCTTACCGTAATGCCACTGCAGGGCAGTGAGGGGCATCAGCCTGGGGCCATGTTCCATGCCAGCTGCTAAGGACGCAGGGAAACAAGGCTCACTTGCTGCCTCAGGTGCTCAGAGTTAAGAGGGCCTGAGAGTCGGACCGAATGATGCCGTGTGGAGCAGCTGTGGGCTGCAGGGAGCACTTCGTGCTGGGCACCCTAGGGTGGCACTCTGCTCTGCTGGCATATAGAAAACGCTGTGTGTGTCACCAGGCTGGGAGCCGCTGGAGCTGGCACCTCCCATTCCGGTATCCCAGCACCCCGGGCGCACCACCCCTGACTACAGGTGTTTGCTGCGTGAGCAGCAGCTTGTTGGGTTTTGACTTACACAAGTAATCCTCATTCAGAGAAACTTGACACAGTAGCCGAGCAAACAATTAAATCTCTCCTAACTAAAAGTAACCACTGTTAACATTGTCTGTCTCTCCAGACTGTCTTCCAGGCATCTCTACACACACATTCTCTGTCATTGCTTAAAAATTGAGTTATAGGATCACATGGTACATTCTGTTTTGTAACCTGCGTTTGTTCAGAGGGCTGTTGTGTATGAGCACTCTCTGTGTCGGGGGTAACGGACTCCCATGCAGACTGTAACTGGCCACACAGTTGTCCATCGTGCGGGTGTGTCATAATTGATGTGACTGTCCCCAGCTGTTAATTAGATGAGATTCATTTGTAATACTCAGCTCGTGTCATGCTTTAGTGCCAGGCTGGGATAAGCTGCAGTATTTTACCAGGGAATCTGTTAACCATATACAACATTTTTTTCTCTGAGAAAATTAGAATTTTAAAAGCGTACTTTTCTTTTTGTATATTTTTATTTTTCCCTAGGAGATACTATTAAAAAATAAGTTGTTCCATCGGTTTGCCTGGCTATAATGGGGAATAGTGGCAGAACTGTTAGAAGGCCACTTGTAGGGAGTTTATGTACTAAAAAGGAATTTAATAACTTATTATCTGGATACATTTGTTTCCACAGGCACTGGGTGCAAATTCCTGTGAAATCTGCCGTGAAGTTTTCAAATCCAAAAACATGCGTGAGCTGAAATGTGGGCACAAGTTTCACAAAGGGGTAAGACTCCTCGGTAGCCGTCCTCAGAGTGTGCGTTTCCACTGTGAAGCGTTTGGAAAGCTAAGCCTAACCGGGCCTGTTGTGCCTGATCCTGGGAGATTCTGGCAGGTACCCTTCCGGGACTTGTGGGTGACTTGCGGTGTTTTGGGTGCTGTGAGCATTTGTCCTGCACCCCTGATGCTGGGTCAGAATAGATCAGGTCTCTGCCACGTCAATTTATTAATCCCTGAGAAAAGGGATAAACACAGTCTACTCACGACAAGGAGTGCAGACAGCTTGCAGTCTCTTGCGTGGCCTGCCTCCCTCAGTTATAGGGGCGCCGTGTCTGGGCTCTCAGACTTGACACACGCTCGCCAGCTCTGTGACAGCAGCAGGCTGGTGGGATGTGTAAGACCAAGACCAGGCAGAGGGGGGATGGGTGAAGAACTGGACGAGTGAGTCCAAAGGCCAAGAAAGTACCAGCCTCTAGAAGTAAGGTCAGCGGGAGCACCAAGACAAGCTGGAGTGTGGGGGGAAGGGGGGAGGCCAGGTCCCCTGAGGCCAGGTCAGAGGCGCATCATTCCTGGGTCAGGCTCCGAGGGGGAATGATTTGTGTCCTGGGGAACCCTCCCCTCCTGAGCAGGCTTCAGCGTTCCTGAGTGTTGGGCAGTCCCAGACCCCGTGGAACTTCGGGGTGAGGTTCCCCTGTCGGCTGAGGAACAGCGCAGGGGGGCTAAGGCCCCAAGGTTCCCGAAGGCGCCGACTGACTGAGCTGTCGTCTCCTTTTCAGTGCTTCAAGCAGAGTGTGAAAGGGCAGGGCACCTGCCCAGCCTGCCTCGACCGTGATCTCCTGTCAAAAGAGTAGCCCGCACCTCCTGGGAGGCCAGCCTGCTCTTGTGGGCCGTCAGTCCACTGAAGGGTAATCACTGGTGTGTTGAATTGGAAGAATAACCGATATATAACACAACCTTTGGTACAAAAGGCAGACGTTTGGAGATTCTTCACACTGTGTCATAGCGCTAAGAAATGGGATCTTTATTAGTAAGTCATGTCTCCACTCTGATGAAGCACTCCAGTAATGGCCAGAGGTGGCTACAGGAATTAGGCGCAGCCACAGTCTGTGTCGTTGGGGCTGCGGCAGAGGCGCTCGAGGCGGCAGGCTTCTTTGGGTAAGAATTCCGAGCGCCTTCAAGCTGCACTGAATTTCTGACCTACTAAAGTGCACAGGTTCAATTTTTTGTAAGAGTCAGTATTCCTAAAAATATACCTATATTTTCCCTCAAAGATTCTGCATTTTAAAAATGGGCGTAAGCAAACCACATTTTCATAATTTGTATTTAATGTTAAAATATTGGCTGATTTAGACCAAAAGAGTCACTTCTCTTCATGAAACACCATGTGATTTTGATTTTTCATTTCATTATTTTATTTCCCAGAGCAGATTTGTCAAATGCTCATTTTTCATCTTCTAAAGATATATGATTTTTGAAATTCAATTACAAGTCACTTTCTTACATCAGCCAACACGTTTTTACCCCTGAAAGCGAGACTCGATATTCATCATCCCAACCCCATATTCAGAACTCATCCTTTGACTCCCTTCCTGTTTTCCTTCCTGGCGTTTGTCCTGCTTCACGAGTTAGACAACAAGTGTGTGGGTGTCTCTGTTTAGCTCACAGCCGGCACTGTGGGGAGTAGTCACCACCATTCTCCTTCCTTCTCCCACCACCAAAAAGAGACACTCGTGTCATCAGACCGTCCCAAGGCGTCCCTGTTCCAGTCGTTCCGTGTTTGACGTTTCTGTGAAGTAATGCATGCTGTCTTGTACTGTGGCCTTAAGAACACAACTAACTACGTTAAAAACTTAAAATTGTAGGTGTCTTTAGTGACCATAGACAGTGGTAAATATAGAAACACGAATTCTGAACACATTCCATTTCTCTCAAACATGAGGGATCAAAAAATGTTTTCCAGTGTGTTCCTTGTTCCCCTAGAAGCTCAAGTTCCTGAGCTGATTTTGTTGCCTTCCTCTGCCTTGGTTCCCCATAAGTTTTGATGTCTCAGTGACTGACTTAGTCCATAGAAGCTTGAAGCTTACTCCGTGTCGTGAAGCAGATTCTCCATGCCGGTCTCTGAAGCACCATCCGCATGTTCGTAGTAACAGAACTGTAGATACTGAGATACGGAGGGACCAGTTTGCAGCAGCAGGTGCCATGGAAAAGCAGACCGGCTGGAAAGAGAGACTGTGTTTCAAGCAGGACTTCAAATTCTTGTGAACATGTCCTGTGAGTGTCAAAATAAAAAGCATTCTAAAAGAACATCCGTTTACTGTTGTGCTCGTCCATTCTTTATTAAACAGTGTCTAAAAAGGATTCTCCTGGAGAATTCAAGACACTTGTGTTACGCTAACATTTTTTTTTAAGATTTTTATTGGGGAACTGGGGGGAGGTAACAGGGTTGGGGAATCAGGGAAGGGGAACAGACAAGTTGCTGTCCTTTTTGTTCTTCAGTCTAGTTGTGGAGGACGTTGCTTCACTGGCCCATGTTGGTATTATCATTGCGCTCTTCCTGGGCGAGGCAGATCAGTCACCGGCTTCTGGACGGCCGCTCACAGCGGCTGCTGGCAGCTCACGCTGGCTGCTGGCTACACACGGTAGCTTATGGCAGCCCACTGCAGCAGGGGCTGCAGCCTACGCCGTCGCTGGCGACTCACGGCAGCCCAGCTCCAGGTTGAACTATTGTTCACCATCTTAGCTGTAGAGGGCAGTGTCGTCACTGGCCCATGTGGGAACTGAACCGGCGACCCTGCTGCTCAGAGCTCATGCTCCCAAGCCAACACTTAACCAATGAGCCACTCGGCCAGCCCTGTGCTAACATTTTTTAAAGTGATTTCATCTGGGAAAAAGAGCCATGTCACGTCTGAGGAGTGTAACCAAGGACTTAGGACATTTTAGAACCTGGATCAAAACACCCCCTTGTGCCTAAAAAAAGTCACAAGGTTGGCTATTTAAATTTGGGAATGGAAAGTTTACAGAGGTCATACTTTACTGTTTTAGGCTAAAGTAAGAGATTTTTTTGTATGAATACATATAAGAATGTTGAAATTAGATTGCTTTCCTCGGTACCGGTTTTTTTGAGGTACTTGTGGATTCATGGGCCGAGACTGAGCAGTAGGATTTCCTTTTCAGAAGACCCACCCATATGCTGAACACTAAGGGATGATGAAAGTAATGCAGAACTTAAAGCAATGACTGTTCCAAAGAGTTTAGATTCTTATCCCAGGTGAATGGTGACTAATCAACAGAACATTGAAAAGGTACCCCAGTGGTGCAAAACGTTTTTACATTTTTAGGGTAATTTTAAAGACAAGTGGGCAGAGCAATCACACCACAAAATGGAAGCAGTGAAACTTCTAGGTAGTTTTTCAATCAGATGACCCTCTGGAGAAATGGGTTAAAAGAAACAGGTAGAAGAGACAATAACAAAGATGGAAATTTTGTTCATCAACGTGAGGTACTTGCAGAAGAGGCTGATAAAAAACAACAGGAAAGTGGATGAGATGGCTTGTTGGAAGCAGGACCCAAAGCATCCCTAATAAGACCCTTCATGAAAGAAATGGGAGACATATTTAGGTGTTTTAAGTTTTAATAAAATGTAACTAAACTTTATTAGAAGAATAATTGTAAAAAGAGTTATTCATCAGTCATGTCTGATTTCTTTTTTATTTTCTCCTTTTCACTCCAACTCGATCTAAGGGGAGCCATCCACTGTCTGGTAGCCACGTACCATAGGTGCTTTGCTGAGAATCCCGGAAACAACTAAATTAAATATGTATAAAGTACCTACTACGTGCACTGGGCAAGGTGTTTGGATACCGCAGTGAAGGAGAGACAAGTACCCCATGAAACTTGCCTTCCAATTGACAGACCATATGTAATTTTGGGTGGCGAGAGCTTTGAAGAAGCAGCAAGGGGGTATATAGAGTAATTAAATTCTAGTACAGTGTTTAGCTTAGTACCTAGCACATAAACCCTCAGCAGAGGGGAGCTAGTAATTGTTATCAAGATTAGGGCCCAGAAATTGCACCTGGGGAGAGTTTGGTTACCCTGTGTAAGAAAAGCTTTATGAGATTAGGAAGTAGATTTCTTCAGTGTGGCCTACATTGAAATGTGACAAAGTGGAGAAGAGCAAGAAGAAATCAAGTCAACTCAGCCATTTTGTAAAATAACTGTTCGAAGTCTCCCTGAGTTGACTAGTGAAATTGTGATTCTTCAGCAAAGGACAATTTCGCCTGTGGCTTGCACAGATTACCTGGATGAGCAATTCTGAGGCAGCCTTTTCAGTGTGTTTGGGTTTAGGACCAGAGCTGTGTGGCTGGCTCGCTTGGGGAATTTGTACTGGAGGGGCCCAGGCAAGGCTAATTCTAGTGGAAACGATGCATGATCCCAAGTCCCCAGTTTGGGGTGAGAACTTTTCTCACTCCATCATTGCCGCCAGGTTATATTTTCTCTTCCTATTTCCCCTTTAAGAGGGACAAAAGTGGGGAGGAGGGTGGGCAAAAAAGAGTGACAGAAAAGGGAAAAAAAAATTTTAAAACCCCACAAAATACTTATGCAAAAATGCAGAAATTAAATAGCAGTAGTAAACTACAAAATCCTAATGATACAACCATCAGTAATCAGGGAAAAAAAGTTTTAAATTACATTAAGAATTACAGTTTTGGATATATGAATGGAAAAAAATGAGCCCTGACCTGGCATCATACAGAAACATTAACTCCAAATGGATCGTGACCCTACTATGCAAAGTAAAGTAATAAAGCTTCCACAGAAAATGTAGACAATCTCCCTGGCCTTGGAATAGGCAAAGATTTATTAGGACACAAAAAGCACTAACCATAAGGATAAAAAGAGGATAAAATGAATATCATAATTAAACCTCTATCAGATAAGTTACCATTCAGAAAGTGGAGTGTCAGGCCATGAAGTAGAAGAAATCTAGCAAAGGACCCCAGAATATATAATTTACATATCTATAAGAAAAAGATGTATTTAGAAGTGAGCAAAAGAGTTGAATATGCACTCACAAATCTCCAGATGTTAACAGGCATTTTGATAGCCAGCTTTGTTCAATATCCATCATCAGGGAAATAGAAATTAAAACCACAGTGAGATACTGTAGATACTCACCAAGATGACTGAAATAAAGGTTAGGATGTGGAGCAACGGAACCATTCATCGCTGCTTGTAGGGGTGTGACTGGGTACAACCACGATAACAGGATCTGCTAAAGCTAATATGGTGGTTCCCTGTGACAACCCCCTCCCTCGAATACGCTTGAGAGCAATGCTCACAGTAGCATAAGTATTTTCTTACTGGCTTCATTCATAAAAGCCTCAAGCTAGAAACAACACAAATGTCCACCCACAGTGGAATGGACAAATGGTGGCCTGTCCAAACAATGGAATGCTTGTGTCAATAGTGAAATGGAGGAACTACTACATCGAACTCAGCCCGCTCTCAAGTGTGATAATGAGCAAAAACAGCCAGACAACAGAAGTCCATTTATGTAAATTCCAAGAACAGGAAACGGGGGAGAGGTCAGAGCCGAGGTTACCTCTGAGGTGATGCTGCAGACAGGAAAGCGGGTGGAGCTTGCCCACTGGGGCTCTGGAAACCAGCTGAGTGATGCTTACCTCACTGTATCATGGGAAATTCATGGAGTGCTACATTTAAAACATGGCACTTCTAGTAATGTTTTTCAGTAAAACTGAACAACAAAAAAGGGAAACCCGGGCCCAGGATGTGATGACTGGGCCCCAGCACAGCTGGTGAGGCTTCCCCGCCTGTACGCAGCCCTCAGCGGGTAGGCTCATTCCCAGGAGGCCCCACCGCACAGCAGGTGCTGCTTGGGCTCCCGCAGCCTCAGCAGCGACCGCATAGACAGCGAGCTGCTCTGTAGAGTAGAGAAGACCCGGAGCCTGGTGCCAACTTGCTATTGCTGCCGGACCCAGAGAACAAAAGCCAAAGACCACACCTTGCCAGCAAGGTGGTGCAGGGCGTTGGAGTTGCCCAGTACTGGCAAACGGGACCATCTCCTATGCAAGGACCGGATTTGTCATCATCCTTGGCCCTGAGTGGGGCCTGGGCTTCTGGCGTCAGTTCCCACTGGCCCCAGGAACAAGAGACAATTGTTAAACTTTCAGGAATTTCGCTAGCTGGCTGTTCGGCACAAAAATTGAATTATGTAAACAAATGAATTCTATAAAAAGCCGTGGCAATTACTCCCCGGCTACAGTTTATTATTGTCTATGCTTTGGGGGTTATTGATGTATACAGTACCTGGACGGTGGAAACACTGTGTAACGGGCTTCTGTGCTTCTCTTCCCAAGTATTTACACCACAGAAATGAGCAAAGGCCCCATATCAAGGCTCCCCCCTCCCAGCGCTGCTCTCCACCCCTGAGAATCTGAAGGCAGGAGTCTTGTTTGCAGGAACGACAGCTGGTCCTAGGTGCTGAAGGTCCCCTTTGTGCCCTCTCATTTCACATGTGACACGGTGACTGGGGACTTGACCACATAAACCCTCTGGCATGACTCCTGCTTCGTGAACTCCTTCCACTGCTCTATTTGGTGAGGGTCCTCACTCGCTGCCATGGGTGCCTTTGCCCCACTGGGCTGGGGTCCCATCCTGGGTCCGCGCCCCTTTCACTGCCACCCTGGAAAGAAGACACTACTCAGGCAGGCTGGCCCAGAGATGCCCCCACCCACCCCCAGCCCCCACCCCCGGCTGCCCTGGAGTCTGCCTTAGTCGGTCCTTCTCGGCCCCTCCCAGCAGTAACTTCGTTCCCCCATCACGCCCGGCCCTGGTGCATGCAGATCCTCTGCCAAAACCCAAGGCAGGCCCCCTTCCTGCCTCAGGACCGGGCAGGTGAATCCAAAGCAGGTGTGCATCGGGGATGCCAAACCAGAAACAAGCCTGAGGACGACGCCAAGCAAAGGGTGGCTCACCTGACCTCCCTGGCGGGGGGCGGGGCTTGACAGCGGGCCAGCCCTCCACCTTGCCACAGCGCCTTCACAGGGAGGGTTGGCATTTATGACCCCAGCTTCTGTGGCAGGACGCTTCAAAGAGAAAGGCTTGCTCTTTCTAACACGTGCTTTTGTGTCAAACAGAGGTGTCATTGTTTCCAGCAAATACCTTGGGGCTGGAGTGAATAAACACCATTCTGTCTTCTCACTTTATTTCCCCTCCATTTTTCAAAAGTTATGTATAAAGGCATTTTGCCTAATTCCTTCAGCCCTCTAGTTCAGCTTCTATTTAT